CCACATGGCCTTTCCAGCATCAAGAAACTTCTGATTGACCTGGGTACGACTTCAAAATGTTAGTTCAATAGTCTCCAGGAACATAAACACGGAGATGCTGAGAAGTCACACCTGTCTGTAATCAAAATTTGGTGTATGAGGCTCATCGAGAATATTTCCTAGTAATAGCACAAGCCCAGCTGGTATTGTCAGCAGAGCAAACACTCCCTAACAAACAAAAAGGAGAGAAGGATTGTGAAATGTGGAATTTCATAGAAAAATATAAAAGTTGGACTTGAAATGGTATCGAGAGGACACAAACCATTGGACCCATTCTATGGACAAAGATCCCGCTGATGACAAATCCCACCAGTCCTCCAGTTGACTCACTCAGAGCACACAAGCTTTGCATATCAGCCGCCAGAGAAGGATGGCTGATGCTGTTCTGTGCCACACAGGCATCTATTACAACATCTGCTATTGCAACACCAGCAGTTCCGGCTGTCAACAGCACTAGGGCAAGAACAAGGTGCACCTTGTAGAATGATAACACGAGCATGGAGAATACTCCGAGAAAACCTATAATGATAAAGAAAAATTCAATCACACAATCGCATCCGAAATTCTTCTGGATGGTCAAAGAGATTACTTTAGGAGCAACTTGAAAGAGACAAATCTAGACTCCAATCTTATAAAACACAGGGTTCTGCTTTTCATCCTCATATATGAGATCGTATGAGGATATTTCTTACATTCTCTCGGTATTTACTTTTCCCCAACGCATGCCTCAAAAGCCAAAGTGATGCATGTTATCTCATAAGTAGATGTGCTCATCTGACTAAACTAGCTTCAAAGTTCTTTAGGCAACGAGGACTAAATGCACTAAAGTGAAGAAATCAAACCTATTCTAAACAATTTCAATAGTCCCCAAGTGTGCTTTCCATTGCGTGTTTTCAGACCAATATTTATTCCAAATCAAAGTGCAAAGTTATGCATGTTAGATAACATCCACTAGTAGCTTTTGAGTGATGCTAAACTTTTAGCATATATTAAGATGCAAGGATACCAAAACTATTAGCCTAAACCAGTAAACCACAATGGGAAAGATGGCATTCAGAAAATACAAGTACCAACAAAATAAAGAAACTGGAGAATTATAACCAACTCTTCATATACCTGCTAAAACAAGATACGGCCGTCTCCGGTACCCTGCAACCGGGAGGACATCGGTCAGAAGTCCCCAAATTGGTTTGACAATCCAAGGAAGCTTTATTATTCCTGTATAGACCTGTGACTCAGAAGGCTGAACCTTCTGAACATCCTTCATGTAGTACTTGGTTGCAACATCAGACAGTGCACCCCCAAGCCCTTGGCTTATTCCATACACAATCGCCACCCCAAGAACAAAGCTCCAGTGCATTTCCGCTGCGAGCATTCTCAGCCATTGGAATGGAGCCAGGAAGCAATCGCACACCCGCGATCTGAGCTCATTCTCCTCCTCGACAGCCTCCTCCACCTCCTCCGCAGAGGCCACAAGATTCCTCGTCTCCTCCATATGACACACTTGTTGGAGTCAAACTTGCTAAAGAAGGTTGTCTCTATTTCTTCGAGAAATGGTTGACTCGCATCAGGACCGGTTTTTCCTCACTGGATCTTGGAAGCCGTCAGACATGGAGGACCTAGTTCATTAATGGGCGTTTCCTTGAGGTGGGTGCTTCTGAGCTAATCAGAGAGTTGACCCCAAAAAGAGGGAGAAACAGAAAGAATAACCACATGACTGGAAGTGACTTCTATATCCAAGTCTGCAGCTTACCCTATTTGCTCCAAGAAAGACTAGGAGGAACCCAGGTCACAATCACACCAACGTTCACGAACTGATGATTGGCTTGTCATGAAAATGATGTCAGATCTGCTTGTGTTTTTTTCCCTTTTTTTCTTGTTTTTTTTCTATAGAAAGACCATTTTGACTTGGATCTCCAAATTGGCTGACATTACAAGAACAAGAGGCGTTTCCAACTAGGCACGCAAAAGGGAGCCTTTTACTTTTTTCTTTGTTTTTTTGCCCTTTTTCTCTCTTGAACTAGAAGAGTTGAAACTTAAAAGGGTCGTTTTTTTTTTATGATATAACTCGGGCAATGCGTACATATGGGTCCTTGAATTTTTAATTCTCGGCATCGATTGTATTAACTACTGCTCTTGGTTGATTTTATTGCCGTCACATCTCAAACAACCGTTTGAAATCCAAATTCCACGACTAGCCTATGGTTCTGCTGTCTGTAGTTGCAAAACCTAGTCTTGTAATTTTATAGAGACAATTTTCGCAAATGGTCTGTTCTGTTTCTATATCAGTGTATCGTCCTTCATTGTTTCCCCAAGTATGGCAAACTAATCTTATTTTCTCCGGTCTGCTTTTTGTGTATGTGAACACTTGAAAATAGTTGTAAAATACCAATTTGTTGGAACAGAAGAAATTGATAAAGAATCTAGGCCTTGCCTTGGGATTATAGAGGCTCGCAGTAGAACCACCACTCCATTTGTGCCGAGAACAACTTCGGTAGTTGGTCCATCCAAGTTTGTTCTCCTCCTACAAATAGGTACCTCCAAGCATATTGATGTTCATCATTTACTTGGTCCGTCCAAACTTTTCGATGATCACACGTCCTCTAATTTGTGCACCATTAACAAGGTCCATCTAATCTTATGGACACCTTCATGTCCTCAAGTCCATTCACTTCTATTGGTTCATCCAAGTCTTCGACAATCACAGGTCCTCTGGTTTGTTCGCCATTGGCAAGGTTTATCCAATCTTATTGACGCCTTCATAACCTCAAGCCCGTTCACCTTCTGTTGGTCCATCCAAATTTTTGATAATCACACGTCCTCTAATTTGTTCACCATCCAGAATGTCCATCCGAACATCGACATATTCCTCATTCAATGACTTGTTTACCATTTTGCAAGGTCCATCCGATCATCATAATATTTCACGTCCAGTAGCTTCTTCACCTTCGGTGGAGCGAAAGTCCTCTTATACTCGTGCACATTCTCGTAGACATCTCATTACTAACACCATATATGAATCTGTATATCTAGAGGCTGTTTCTTCTTCCCATTCAAGTATAAATGTTAGTGTAATTAGAATGTTTTGTCATCCTCAATAGACTATAGGGTTATATTCTAACATTCTCTTCAATGCATTATTGTGGTCAAATTTAACTGTACATAAGAGTTAGTAAGTCGTATGGATAAAATGAGGGTTAAGGGTCAGCAATACAACTATATAATAGAAATTCGAAAACTATAATACTTCGAATTTTTTAGAATTATGGATTGCATTGGATATGTATTATAACTTCAAAGATATGATAGAAGCAATTTTTCTAGAGAATACCATAACGTTACACAACCTACAATATGATATTATTATTTCACTAAGGCTCCGCTTGTTTCACGAAAAATGAATGATTTGTAAAACATTTACCAAAAGTGATAGCTTGTTTCACTTGAAATAATTAGCCAATGAATAATATTTTTATTATTGATAACAATTTATGTCTAAAGAATTTCATGGACGGCATCGCCAATCAGCCACGACTCACATCTTGGCATCTTCTTATTATTGGTTGGTTGATTTTCGGATTCCTTTGCGTATTGAATTCCTTCTATAGAGAAGGCATTATGTCATAGATAAGTAAGGGAAATTGTCCAATCGATCATAAACTTATTATACATATGTCAATTTAGTTTTAAAATTTTCAAATTCACTAATTTAGTTGTAAACATTTGCGCAACATGGCTATGTACCATATGGGACAGCTGGCAATGATCGGATCACAACATTAGCGATTTCCGACGAAAATTGATCGGAAAGAATACATTGGAATTTCGCACAAAGGTTCAGGACTAAACCGCCCAAATTGAAAAGTCTAAGACTAAATTGGCATCCGTACAATAGGTTTATGACTAATTGGGTAATTTTCCATAGATAAGTTAGTATGTACTGTAATATACAATTATAATAATCAAATGATTGACTTACTTCTATTATTTTATAAAACATTTCTCTCTCCTACACGCAAAGACGAAGACACACAAGTGGAGAGCCCCCGCCCAAAAAAAAAGTTCATCTATTTTCCAACAAATAAAAATTAGGAAAAATTCCATTCATCGACCTAAACTTTAGGGAAGATTCACGTTAACCTCGAACTCTAATTATAAATCTCACATCTAAAAAAATTTGCATTTCGTCACAACTATTAAAGCTTCTAAACGTTTTCCGTAAACATGTACAGTACTCATTTTATTGTGCTCAATTAGTGTAAGGGCCATGTTTTCCTCCGTCTCTGGTTGGAGAGATGTCTCTAATCATTCTTCTAATTTGTGGGTTATAACAATGGTTATTACACAGATTTATATTTAATAAAGTTTGCATAAAGATGATGTCAATACTGCCGTAACCCACTAATCAGAAGCATTGTCGTAGGAAATGATGGAAAATATTACAGCCCGTCCGTTTCAATCTTTCTGATAATAAAATCGAAAATGCAGAAGAGATACATTTAAAAGTTTTGGATTAATAGGACAATTGAGAAGAAGATTGATGAACGGTACAAACACCACTGTGGTCATAAGAGGAAATCAACAGAGTTGATAGGTTGTCGTCACTTCTCAGTGATCTCTTGATGACAACTCTTTTGTGTACTTTCCTTTTCTGCCAGAACGGTCAAGGAAGGGGATAACGTCTAGCAATCAACGTGAAAATACTTCCTTGTGCCATCCTAATAAAGAGTGAATGAAGAGATCAGCTGGGTTCCTCGGACTAGTTGCGAGGAATTTTAGATCTGTTTCACAATCACAAAGTACAAGCAAAAGGGTAAAAATGCAGCAAACCGATGTTCTTATCAATATACTCAGCTCTTTCCGTCAACGTCGGTCTTCCCAGTTTCCGCGGAAAAAGTTCAAGCAGCTCCTCTAGATCTTTGATTATGTACATTTTATTTGGAAAAGAAAAGCATCCCATGTCAGTAAATTGAGTCTGCTAATTCAGACATTTCATGTGTTTCTTTGTAAAAAGAGTAGCACTTGTCCATACCATACATTATCATTAAATCGTGGGGAGAGAATGTAGGGAGTCGAACATGCAAAAAACATGAAAGCTTTGGCATGGTCGGTCGGTCGCAAGTGAAAATCCTTCAATCAAACCATTGCTCATCCACCTGTTCGGAACGGTCTGCAAAATCTTCATTCTTGCACATCGCAAGTCAAGACACGCTTGACCTTCTTAATGTCCCTTCCAAGGGGACAAATCCTGTCTTTCTTCATGCACAAGTTACATGGGAACGGGAGTCCGAGCAACGGAAATTAAAGAAAGACGACCATTGTCTCTTCTGAACCGACACGTTATTTTGATGAATGGGTTGCTTCTCAGTTTCTGTAAATATGAAGCTAGACGAGCAAAATAAAAAATGCGCCTCGGGGGAAGGGAAGATGCACTCAATAATCAGCTACAGAACAAGAATTACCCTCTATCCAGCCTCCATTTCCCCTTTGGAGTAATTTCCTCTAAAATATGCAAGCGAATTGTGTAGCTACTGGTTTGCCCCAAAGTTATTTAGCTTCGGCGCCATTAACAAGTGAAACCAATTCAATGTGCTGTGGCTCCACCGTCTCAGTCCCTTCTCTCGAAGCTAACACTTCGTCTGGAAGAAGGGAAGCATTTGGATCCCCTCCGGGAACCAAGAACAGCAGACAAAGCGGAGAGATCCTTAATATGTTACGGATCAAAATAGCCAACCATAAATTACCGAATTGAGTTCTAGTGACCCCAAGTATGTGAAGTAATAAGCCGCCTCCCCAAGATGCTGAGAGAATCCCAATATTCTCGATGGACATGAGCAGAGCAAAGAAAGTGCCCTCTATACCAGAGGGACAAAGCTTCGAGCTTAACACGTACAGAGGCATCAGTTTGAGTGTTCCAATCAAACGGGAGACCCCTTCATCGATCACGGCAAAGAAATAATCTGGCACGCCAAGTTTCAAATTTAACCGGAGTATGAGAACCAGGTCAAGCATTCCTGACAGACCAAAGAACAACTGAGTCCACAATAACATATCCCGAAAAGGGTGATCCTTAAGGCCATGTTGGAATAGTATTGCCCCAAGAAAGTAACCGACAGAACCAACTGAGAACAAATAACCAACAGTCTCCTGCAAGAATGACTTGAATAATTAGCAGACTGTATTGTAAAGTTTCTTTTGTTCATGAGTAATCATTTAGTGTCAAAATGCTCTACATCAGACGTAGTTATGTCACTGTGAAAGCTTTCACCATAACAATGCTTATCAATCTTCAAGGATCTCATCATCCAGGAAGCGATTGGACAACAAGAAAAAAAATAACAGCCATTCAAATGACTTTAGCCTCATGAGTTCAAATTTCAAAACTTTTACCATGATCATCTTTCTTCAAGCCAACAAATACTCAATTTGTCTTGTATAACAAGCAAGCTAATTTGTTAACACTGAGACATTTCCCTGGTTTTCATGATTAAGAAAGATCCAAGTATGAGCTAGAGTACAGCCACAAATTTGTGAAGATGTTACACTCTGATCAGAGGTTTTTGTTGATATTAACCACAGAGAGGATGTAAACATGTTCTTATGTAGCTAATCATACAATTTGTATGAGATTCTTCCACTTGAGCCAATGTACAAAAATGAAACTCTATCATTTTCTACTCTCTGTCTCCATTTATTGGCATGTTGACATTGCTTTGGGATTCCCGGAGCTGTATAGCCCACAGGCATTCAGCATTTACACTCTGATCACAGAGGTTTTCGTTGATATCAACCACAGAGAGAATGTAAACGTGTTGTTATGTAGCTAATCATACAATTTGTATGAGATTCTTCCACTTGAGCCAATGTACAAAAATGAAACTCTGGCATTTTCTACTCTCTCCATTTTTTGGCATGTTGACATTGCCTTGGGATTGCCAGAGCTCAAAGTATATTCCACAGGCATTCAGCATTTACACTCTGAGCCAAAGGAAACTTCTAGCTTGGTATACTTCTAATCTCGGAGACCAGATTATAAATAAAATCTTGAGAATCATCAAACCAGAAAATTCAACAGAAACTTCTAGGGTCCATAATTCACTTTTTAATTCTTTCCCATCAAAATAAGAAACTGGAATGACAAGCAAAATTATGTCGTCCATACCTCAGAGAAAGATGGACCTCCATCTGCATCTGTATACCAATAGAACATTCCGTCACGAATATTCAAACTTAGTGCAATGGATGAGTACATGTATAGACACGGTCTCCACACAGCTGGGATTTTCAAAGTGGTCCACATGGCCTTTCCAGCATCAAGAAACTTCTGACTGACCTGGGTACAACTTCACAATGTTAGTTCACCAGTCTCCAGGAACTAAACATGAAGAAGCTGAGAACTTGCACCTGTCTGTAAGCAAAATTTGGTGTGTGAGGCTCATCGAGAATATTTCCTAGTAATAGCATAAGCCCAGCTGGTATTGTAAGCAGAGCAAACACTCCCTAGCCCCAAAAAAGAGAGAAGGATTATGAAATGTAGAATATCATAGAAGAATATATAAGTTTGTTAAGAAAATAATATTGAGATGACACAAACCATTGGACCAATTCTGTGGACAAAGATCCCACTGATGACAAAACCCACGAGTCCTCCAGTTGACTCGCTCAGGGCACACAAGCTTTGCATATCAGCTGCCAGAGAAGGATGGCTGATGCTGTTCTGTGCCACACAGGCATCAATTACAACATCTCCAATTACAACACCAGCAGTTCCTGCTGTCAACAGCACTAGGGCTAGAACAAGGTGCACCTTATAGAACGATAACACGAGCATGGAAAATACTCCGAGAATACCTATAATAAAAAAAAGTCCAATCACACAATCACATTCGGAATTCTTTTGGATGCTCAAAGAGATTACTATAGGAGCAACTTGAAAGTAACAAATCTTGACACCAATCAATAAACAAAACACAAGTTTCTGCTTTTCATCCTCACATATGAGATCATATGAGGACATTTTCTTACATTCTCTCTGTATTTCGATTTCCCCAATAGATATGCCTCAAAAGCCAAAATCTTCAGTTGGTAATCACACAAAACCCTTTATCCTCAAGGTAAGCTCTTCGGGTAGAGACCCTACAGCCCACTTTTGCAAACTGCACTATGTAATTGACCAAGAGTTTGTACATCCAGGATTGTGTTTCTGCTTAGTGGGAAAGCAACAACTATATCATTATATGATTCAGGGGGAAAAAACAAAATTGGGTGCTCTTCTAGTGCTTCTGTCAATTTAAGAGTTGGTCTTGTCTGAACAAATGGGGGACTGACTCTAGAATACTTTCACGTCTTGCACCTTTCACATTAAGAAAATTGAGCCTCTGTGCATCAAAATACTTTGCTTTGGTAAAAAAATGAGGAAACAAAAGATTCCATATTTCGATGTATTTGGTAACAGTGTGGACATGTATCATATCAGCTGCCTCTTTTTATTAAACTACTTCAGACTATGCAAAGATGCATGATGAAGGTTTGTCCATGAGTAGTTTGTCAATTGGATTTTCTCTGGTGTATGACAGTTGCCAAATAAATCATACCCTTTAATTGACTTAGTAGAAGGAGCTTTATGTACTGAAATTACATATCGCTGGGGCAAAAACAGTACTTTGGTTACCTGTCCATACAACAATGTAGAATGTCTTAGACAATTGTCTCAGATTGTCCATCTATGGTAGTATATTTGTAGACTGCAAATTCTGTCCTTGAAAAACCATTTGACTGCGATCTCCAGAACAAACAATATAAAGAAAAAAGCGTAGATCCATTACCCTAAACAAACATATAATCAAATATGACATTTGGTTCATTGCCATTTTTTTAAGAAAACAAAAGACTAATAGGCACGGGTTACATTGATTAAATAACAACCATATAGACTGGTATATGCAGTAATTCTAACCATATCTGGTAAGGATCTACCAAAGTGAGTGGAAAGAAAGTTCAGCACATAGCCCAGAGAAGATTAATATAGCTCACCCCATTGCCACATACATTGTCAATTTTTAAGATCAGTTCATCATTCTCAGCTCAGGCAAGACCCCCAAATTACTAGCTGTCTGATGAGACTTCAAATAAAACCAAAAGTTGTAGAGAATGTGTGGTCAGATCGTGCTGTGTCTTACTCATCACAACTGTTATCTCAGCTTCTAGGACACTAGAGATTGGAACAAATAGCTAAACTATATACACTCCATGGAAAAAAATGCAGACAAGCGGATGCTAAACATCAAGTTTGGGGATTTTCTTGGTCCTATATTTGATTACATCATCATGCTTGATATCTGTGACATCTAATAGTTTGTTTAAACATATGGTGAATGTGATGCCGATCCTCATCTTCTAAGATTCTAAGTAGATGCCTACTGTTGATGACCAAGCAACGCCCATCCCAGCTATTGCTATGCGTCTTTAACGTCTCAATTTCACCAATTCCTTTCTTTTCTTTTTTCATACCACACTCACCTTATCTTTCAATGAAAACAACCTAATTACAGTTCTAGTAAGCCTGACTTCAAGAAGGTGAATATTTTGTCAATATTATTTCCATCAAGTGTCGGAGCCATGTTCACATCACCCCATTGATCGCCTACTTACAGAAGATTTAGATATCTCCCTTCAAATATGAATCAGAACTCATAAGTAGAAGTGCCCACCGACTAAACTAGCTTCAAATTTCTTCAGGCACTGAGGACTAAATGCACAAAAGTGAAGAAATCTAACATTTTCTAAAAGACCATTTTAAAAGCCCCCAAGTGTGCTTTTTTAATGCGTGCTTTCTTAATGCGTGCTTTCGTACCAACATCCACTCCAAGTCAAAGCGCAAAGTGATGCATGTTAGATAACATCCACTCCAAATCAAAGCGCAAAGTGATGCATGTTAGATAACATCCACCAGTACCTTTTGGGTGATGCTACTCTTTTAGCCTATATTAAAATGCAAGGATTCCAAAACTATTAGCCTTACCCACAACGTGAAAACTGGAATCCAGAATATACAAATAACAGAACAAAAAATAAAAGAAACTGGAGAACCGGCTTTTCGTGTACCTGCTAAAACAAGATAGGGCCGTCTCCGGTACCCGGCAACCGGGAGGACATCAGTCAGAAGTCCCCAAATTGGTTTGACAATCCAAGGAATGTATATGATTCCTGAATAGACCTGAGACTCAGAAGGCTGAACCTTCTGAACATCCTTCATGTAGTACTTCGTCGCGACATCAGACAGTGCGCCCCCAAGCCCTTGGCTTACTCCATACCCAATCACCACCCCAAGAACAAAGCTCCAATGCATTTCCGCCGCGAGCATTCTCACCCATTGGACTGGAGCCCAGAAGAAATCGCAACCCCTCCATCTGGGCACTTTCTCCTCCGCAACAGCCTCTATCTCCTCAGAGACCACAAGATTGTCAGTCTCCTCCATATGTCAGCCTCTATCTTGATGTTGGAGTAAAGCTTCCTGTGAAAGATGGTCTATTTCTTTGAGTAACGGTTGACCCACATCAAGATCGCTTTGTTCCTCCCCGGAAAGTTGGGAATTCTTGAGGGAATCATTCTTTTTGATCTAGGAAGTCGTCAGACACGGAGGACCCAGTTCAAGAATCGGCGTTTCCTTTGAGTTGGGTGCTCCTAAGCTCATCCGAGAGTTGACCCAAAAGGAGGATACCAAAATAGCATGACTTGAATTCTTGAAGGAACTTCTGGATCCAAATCTGCAGCTGACGATGTTTGCTCCAAGAATGACTAGGACAAGGAGGATCCCAGGACAATATCAGATCAACGTTCACGAAAACTATTGTGCGCTGTTCATGAAAATGATGTCTGAATTCTGATCTGTTCCTGTTTTGTCTCTCCTCTCTTTGAAAATAGAAGAAGACCTTCTTTTTTTTTTTTTTTAGCAAAAAAAAAGAAGAAGACCTTTTTTACTTTGAAACTCTAAATAAGATGGCATTAACAAGAACAAAAGAGAGATTTTGTTCCCAACTAGGCACGCAAAAAAGAGCTTTCTTCTTTTCTGTTCTTGTTCTTATCTTGGAACGAGAAGAGTGGAAATTTAAGATCTGTTTAGTAACGTTTCTATTCCTAAATTCTCTAAACGAGTTTCTGAATAAAAAAACACATTTAGTAACTGCACAAAATTTATATTCCCGAAGTAGAAAAAGAACACAAACACACTTGGAAGGGCACTAAAAATTTATACTCCTAATTTTTTCATTTAATTATAAAATTGTTAGTGGATACTTAACAATTCATATTTGGATAAAATTGGACTAGAAATAGAATGAGAATATATCATGATATAGAATTGGATTACCTTAATACAATCATAAAGAAAATTACTCCTTATAAACAAAGTAAATGCTGGGTGATGGTCGAGGAAATTGCAATTTAGAGGACTTAACAATTCATGTTTAAATAAAATTGGACTAAAAATAGAATAATAATATATTATGATATAGAATTTGATGACCTTAATACAATCATAAAGAAAATTACTTCTTATAGACAAAGCAAATATTGGGTGATAGTTGAGGAAATTGCAGTTTAGGGTGTAGGATTTTAGGATTTGGGGTTTGCGGTTTTGGATTATAAGGTTTAGGGTTTAGGTTTTAGAGTTTCGGATTTTGGGTTTAGTGTTTCGAGTTTCACGTTTGGGGTTTAAGTTAGGGTTTAAGGTTTTGGGTATTGGGGTTTGGGATTTAGGGTATAGGGTTTACAATTTAGGATTTTGGGTTTATGGTTTAGGATTCGGGATTTTGTGATTGAGCATTTTAGGATTTAGGGTTTGGAATTACGATTTTAGGGTTTAGGTTTCAGGGTTTCGGGTTTGGAGTTTTGGGGTTTAGGGTTTAGTATTTCGGATTTGGGGTTTAGAAGGTTTAGGGTTTGGGCTTAGGATTTTAGGGATTTGGGGTTCCGGGTTTTTGATTTAGTGTTATAGGTTTTAGGGTTTGGGTACTGAGGTTTAAGGTTTTGGGATTTAGGGTTTGGGAGTTAAGGTTTAGGGCTTTAGGGCTTAGGATTTGGAGTTTAGGATTTAGTATGAAAATATCTTGTGAAAGAGAGAGAGCTGATCTTGTTTCTCTTTCTGTTCCAGAAACAGAAAAATAGATTTTTTTACTTCTTATTTCTGTTTCAAATCTATTCCCTGACCACTTTTCTCTTCCGGGGAAAAAAAAAACTAACTGACGTTACTAAACAGATTTCTATTCTTTTTCTGTTCCGAAAAACAAAAGAACAAAAAAATAGAAAAACAGAAACGTTACTAAACAGACCTTTAAAAGGATGATTTTGTTAGTGATTTAACTTGTGCAATGCATACAAATGGATCCCCCAAAATTTTTAATTAGCAAAGTTGAGTATTTTAACTTGCACGATTTTTTGTTTTTTGTTGTTAAGAAACTTGCATAATGTCTGAAAATCGAGTATTCAATTAAATGCTGAGACTACGCAAAAACCATTTATCCCACGCATACTATTAAAAGAACACAACTCACTTATTGCCCTCGACTTTTATGTCTACACATGTTTTCTTTCTCTACACTCTCACATGTGCAAGAAGAGACAAAAATATATAATTAAAAGAAAGGGAAGAGACAGAAGCGGTGCTTCTCAATATCACAAAAAAAAAAATATCACCTTCCATGGTGCAAGAAGAGCCTGCGTGCGGAGAAAAGGCACTCGTTGGGGAGATCACCAATGAGCCCAATGCCGGTGCCGGCGAAAGTGTAGAGGATGATGGGTTTGGCATCATAGGTAATAAACAAAGGACGACGGGTTTGTGGAAGAAAAAAGAGGAGGAGGAGGAGGCATGGAAAACGTGCAAAAGAGAACAGAGAGACGAGTGGAAAGCGTAAAAAGACGAAGAAGAAGAAAAGTGGGACCCATATGAAAAAAATAAGAAGAAACAAAATAAAAACAATTGACCAAATAATCAAAAAAGGATCATATAAAATTGTACCATAAATAGTGGGCCCCACAAGGGATAAGATGGTCAAAACAATAAAAAAGGAAGTGTCTAAGCCATAAGAGAAGTGGAAAAAGCGCGGCCCATGATTTTATTGGAAAATTACTAAAAAAGTTCTAAACTCATTACATTTGTGCCAATTCAATCTTAAACTTTTTGATAATTTATCAATTTAGTTATAAATCTCTCTATTGTGCTAATGTAATCTCAACTTTTTGAGAATTTACCAATTTAGTCGTAAATCTTTAAATGAATTACCAATGTAGCGCTTTCGACTAATTTTGGCCAGAAATCGCTGACGTGGCGCGGTGGTCCAACGTGGCACAACCGATACTGAAGTGGATAATTTTTTAAAATTTTTTAATATTTTTTCTTTTTTCTTTTCTTTCTTTTCTTTTATTTTATTTTCCTTCACAAGGCTGACATGGGTGCCGACCATTGAGCGAGGCCCAGCAACCCCTGCCGACCCCTAGGTGAGAACCACGAAGCCCTGGCTGGTATTGGTGAGGGTTGCAACCCTTATTGAATCTGGTGAGGACGTAACAAGTCCTCACCTAAACCCTTGCTAGCTACAACGAAGGTGTCGTAGCCCTTGGCCGCCCTTGTTTGGCCGGCGAGGACTTCGTGACTCTTGCCCAAGAGCCGGCGGGGGTCACCAACCCTCACCTAGTGGCCTGCGGCCCACTAGCCCTATGAAGAAAAAAGAAAAGAAAGAAAAAAAAATAAAAAAAAATAAAAAATTTTAAAAAATTATCCACCTCAGCGTTGGTTATGCTACATAGGATGGCTGGCATTAATTAGACTACCACGTCAATGATTTCCAACCAAAATTAGCTAGATGACTACATTGGTAATGCATGAAAAGGTTGAGAACTAAATTAGCAAATCATCGAAATGTTTAAGACTAAATTGGTACAATTGAAATGTTTAAGATTAAATTAGTAAATTTTCAAAAGGTTAAGTAGTAAATTAGTCAAATTGAAAGGTTTATGATTGGATTGGCATTAATACAATAAGTTTAGGCTTTTTGATAATTTTCCTCATTCTATCTATTTGTTGTTTGTCATTTATCAACTATATTTCATTAATCATTCATATAAAATGACGAATAAATTGGGGTTTAAGGGCCAATAAGATTGGGAGTTATGATGTTTTAGTTTCTTGACACATAAATGTTCTAGTTCATAAATGTGATTGGACATCGTCTAGCTATAGTACACTTACTATGTTTGTACCATCTATAATATATAGTATAAGTCGGAATTGAGAGAATTCTTATGAATGCCACGTGGCGCTTCATTTTGACTCTATAATTGCCACGTGGCGAGGTATTGTGCATAATTTTGCCATGTGACTCACACTCGACCAATCAACATTGATTTATTCACTTGTTACTTCCAAAATTTTATTTTTATTGAGCTTAAATTCCAAAGAACAAAATGGATAATGAAAAAGAATATCAAATGCGTTCCATAATATATCTCTTTCAACTATTTTCTCATCGATTTAAATTGGAAAAAATTAAAAGAGACATGTCTTTTCTATATTATAATTATTATTCTTCCAAAATATTTACCACTTTCACGTTTTATTGCTTATTAATTTTGAAATTGATGAAAGTGAAAATACATAAATAAATTGGTGTACATATTTATTCAGTTAATTAAAAATTAAGTTAGAAAGAGAAATATATTGTATTAGATGAATAAGATTTATATTTCGAAATATAACATATTCGACATATGAGTAAGTACACAATTTATCTACTTAACCTATATACGTATATATTAATTCAACCTTTTTTTTTTGGTCGAAATATTAATTCAACTTGAAGGATAGCTTATGTTATGACTTTTTACTTGTTGAGTATATCCCAATGACACTATATATATACACACACACATAACGTACTTGAAACAGGCAGATGTTCAATTTTAGGTCCTATTGAAAATCCAATTATTTAAAATATTTCTTATATCCTGTAAAGAAAATATTATTCAGTAGAAGAAAACGTGAACATGATTTATGTAAAGCCCACGTAATTGGAAATTGATTAGAAAAAAAATAAGAGAGCACTTCATAAGCTTTAATATATAAGTTTGTCGTTGGACATATTTTCAAATACCAGAATTCAAACAAAATTAAAATAATGAAAAAAAAAAGAGTTTATCTCGAGCTTTGATTGACATTCATATGATCTATATAATTAAAGCCGAAAATGAATGAGTATTTGCTCTTGCACCACTACGTGGCAGTCCACTTTGCCTCTATGATTGCCACAATACATCAACAATAATAATTCAAATTCTAAATTTTTGAATGCAATGTACTCATATCCTTTTACCGACCATTTAGCTAATTTTGCTGGCGGTTTTTACGGGGTGCCACGTGAATGCGACGTCAGTGTCACATATGGCAAAAACCATAGAAAGGAGCCACGTTAGCCTTTTCTGGTGTACCACGTCGGCGAAATCGAATGAACTTTTGGTGGAAGAATTTGATTGTGCCAATTTTAGAATATCCAAAACTCGATTACGTTTTTTCAAACTTTTAGGATTTAATTGCACATCAAATGCAACATTTAGAATTGTCGATGCTGTTTCTCCTAATTATAATTTTGGGTTAATACCATGAAAAACCCCAAATTAGTACATCTGTGACAAATTTACCCTTCATTAGTTTGTGTTAAATTTTATCATTAAATTACTGAGTTGGATGACACGCGGCCGGTGATGGGTGTACCAGTTTGGGGTTTTACCTCTATTTGTCACAAGTGTACCGGTTTATGATTTTTCGTGGAATTAATACAATTTAGCAAAAACTAACGGAGGGTAAATTAGTCACAAATATACTAGTTTGGAGTTTTAGCGGTCAAAAAATTAATTTTGGGTAAATTTGTTATAGATATACTAGTTTGCGATTTTTTGTGATAAAAAAATTAATTTTTGGTAAATTTATCACATATATACCAGTTTGAAGAGTTTTATGATATTAACTCTATACTTTTCTATTAGAGATCGGTGGAAATGTGTTGAAGGACGTCATTGTAATTATAAAAAATTTCATCAATTTCTATTTAGAAAAGTTAAGACAAAATTTTTTGCTAAAGAGATTCCTACAGATGATGGTGCTGTCACAAGCAGACAGCTCGTCATCCTACATTCTTCAATGAAAGACTTTTCTCCGAGAAATAGAAAACCTACTAGCAAATCTATACTAAAATCTTTCTCTCTACTCTCCATTTGTTCGGCAATGATTTGAAAAATATTTTTCTAAAACAGATCGTATTTATCACTAGAAATAATTAGTCGATGTAATATGTTTTCATTATCAACAATAAATTATGTCTAAATATTTTCATGGACGATGAAAATGTCTTTCGTTCATTTATTTTTGTAAACGATACAAGCAATCATTTTTAAGAAAATATTTTTCAAATTATTCATATTCTACGAAACAAACGAAGGCTCCGGTCATTTCGCGGAAAATGTGACATTTTTGGAAATTTCTTTCTGGAAAGTCATTTCTCAGAAAAATAACAATATTTTCCGGTGTTCGGCTGAGACTTGAAAATGAACTGGAAAATATTTTCCGCCGTTCAGTATCCGATTTGATTTTTTAGAGTAAATTACCAAAAAAATTTAATATTTAATATTTTTTTATTCTTTTAATTTTTAAGTTTTATTCTTTTTCTTTTCCTTTTCTTTTCTTCTTTTTCCTTCTTCCTTGGCTGGTTGTCGGCCATGGCAACGGCCAGCGACCGACCATAGGCAAGCTGGAGCCTCGCCATAGTCCGGCGAGGCTCGAACTCGCCAAATTCGAAGCTAATTATCAATGACTCAAAGGTGTGAACCATTGCCATATGATGTTATTGAACAAACCTCGCCCCCTTCTCTTCCAATCAAATTGTTACTACTTAAAAGAAATTGGGTTCAACTCCCACAAGACACATGGCTAGGAATAGCAAGCCTTCGTGGCATCATATCAATCGACACTTTTTTGGGTTTTATCTATTATTAGGGTATTTTGAATTCGAGCAACTCTTTAAATAGCTTCATTTCGGTTCTCATCCGGACTTCGAGATAATCGGAATGTAAAACTCCTAGAGAGTATTCTCCCTTCACGTGAAAGAAAAAGATTCATGGAGAATTTGAGGCTACGATCATGTATATAGTGACGTATTAAAAGAAGGAACACATTCATGGAGTTCACCCGAATTAAAAGACTTGTGGATGTGACCCAACACCATATGATATATCGTACAAACCTCGCCCCCTTCTCTTCCAATCAAATTGTTACTACTTAAAGAAATTGGGTTCAACTTCCACAAGGCACACGGCTACGAGCAGCAAAGCAAGCCTTGGTGGCATCATATCAATAGACACTTCTTTGGGTTTTGTCTATTATTAGGGTATTCGCATTTTCTAGTCGGAAAAATCCAAATTCCATGGAACGAATGGAGCCTAAATATTTGTTCTTTCCATTGATTGGTTACTCCTGTGAGTACAAAACGCAATGAGAACAAAGAATTGTATATCCAAATGTAACCTATTGTAACGCAAATTACAGTTAGGAATCGACATACAACCAGAACTTCTTTGTCCAGTCTCTTTGTATCCGTGAAGATGTATTAACTCAGTTTCTCTTTTTATGTCCTCTTCTAAGAAATGGCAAGTGGACCGACTCCAAAGACCCCCCTAAAATCATCTGCCATTATCAGTGCTTTTAACGAGGGAAACCAGTTCAATTTTCTCGGGTTCCAGAGCTTCGGCGTCCTCTTCAGAAGCCAATACTTCGCTCGGAAGTATGGAAGAATTTGGATCGCCTCTCGGAACCAAGAACAGCAGACAGAGCGGAGATATGCGTAGTATGTTTCGTATCAAGATAGCTAACCACAAGTTTTCAAATTGGGTCCTGGTAACCCTGAGTAAGTGAAGTAGTAATCCCCCTCCCCATGACGACGAGAGAAGTCCGACATTGTCGATTGACATGAGCAGGGCGAAAAAGGTGCCTTCTATGCCGGAGGGGCACAGCTTCGAACTGAGTACAAGTAGAGGCATCCACTTCAGTCTCGAGATCATCTGGGACGCACACTCATCGATCACGGCAAAGAAATAGTCCGGAATGCCAAACTTCAAGTTCAGTCGCAGAACCAGGAATAGGTCAAGCATTCCTGATAGACCAAAGGACAACTGGGTCCACAACAGCAAATCCCGGAACGGATGATCCCTAAGACTGTGCTGGTATAGTAGTGCTCCTAGGAGTGAGCCAACTGAGCCAATTGAGAACAAATAACCGACGGTCTCCTGCTTGAACAAAATGATAATTAATACATCTGCAGGAGACAAGGTCAAAATGATCTGTTGTTGATACGGTCATAGAGCAGTTTGCACAGTTGGCGGAATTTGAACAAGTGAACTCCAGTTCCTAAGTAGGAAATCTCTTAAGAGTCCTAACCAACTATGCCAAACACATTATTTTGCCGCATGTCCTAGAAAATTTTTAGGAGATCATATTTTCCAAGCCAGTTAAACACAATTTATTCATGCACAGTAAGTCCATCAATAATTTTCATATAAGAAGTCCTGGATGAATCGAAGTTCACATACCTTAGCGAACAATGGACCTCCTTTTGCATCGGTGTACCAATAGAACATCCCATCGAAAATATTCAAACTCAATGCAAGTGATGTATACATGTACAAGCATGGTCTCCAAACAGCTGGAATTTTCAAAGTCGTCCACATGGCCTTCCCAGCATAAAAAAACTTCCGGTTGACCTGACCACGACTGAAAAATATTAATATATGAATCTAAAGGAACCAAAAATGTGAAGATGCCAAAATTCCACACCTGTCTGTAATCAAAATTTGGTATGTGAGGCTCATCGAGTATGACTCCCAGTAAAATCATAAGGCCAGCCGGTACTGTCAGAAGACCATATACCCCCTAACCAGAAATGGAAACAAGTTCTCCGATGAGGGATTGCTATGTCTGGTGAACCCAAAATATAAATGCTGCATTGAGTAATAGGGTTCAAAGTTGACAAACCATCGGACCAATTAGGTGAACAAGGATACCGCTAATGACGAAGCCCACAAGTCCTCCAATCGAAGAACTCAAAGCACACAGGCTTTGCATGTCAGCTGCCAGAGAGGGATGACTGATGCTGTTTTGTGCCACACAAGCATCAATGGTGACGTCTGCTATCGCAACACCAGCACTTCCTGCTGTCAATAGCACTAGGGCAAGAACAAGGTGCACCTTGTAGAATGACAACACGAGCATGGAGAATACACCGATAAAACCTACAACATGACAGAATGATGGATCAGGTCAGCACACCCGAGCTATACATGTCACTATATCTGAACTTGTCTAACAAACTACTCTTGGACGGAGGGATATCCAGGGAGAAAAAAAAAAGAGAACACACAAGACAAATTAAACATGGATTGCTGCCTTTTCAGAGACTTCAGACTTCAAAGTTATGCTTCATGTCATGTCAAGTTCCGTCTGTACTGTTCTGTGCATTTAACTTTTTCGACTCTATAGGAATATAGGCAGTGTGACACAAAATCCTTCATAGTCTGTTTAAGAGTCAGAACATCTAAGAAGCGACATTGCATTGTGTTGGGTACATTTTGGACACTGTATTTTCCACAATTAATCATACATGTGTTGTATTTAGTCTCGTCCACGCTTGTAAAGACTTCGCCAAAGACAAGTATACAGTTGCTACTCAAGTACCATTGTTGTAAATTGAGGCCGTTTTGGGAGCCATGATTGTATTTATACTCTCTCTCTGTTGCTTTCAACTACTGAAATCTGGGCTCTCTATATGAAAGCATTGTGCATGTGTTAAGCTAAAAATATTTCGACAGTTTGATGTGGTTGCTGACCTTATGGTTTACCTGAGTGGGTGCAGAGTTGGTATATCAGGTCCATACCATGATCAGAATGCATTACATACAAAGTGCACTATAAATACGGAAAATTTTATGCATGGAGCATTTTTATTTAGGATTCACGCATCATGCATCCACTTGTTTCACCAAGTTACCAACGATGTTACTAGCAAAAGGTCCAAACATCTTGAACAGCATGCTATCAACCTAGGGACAAAGGTATATAGCACTTTTCCACACCCCAGTCCATGCACCACTAACAATTACCACTGACCAGATGACATGAAAATTAACCATCAAATTTGGAGATGAGTAAAGAAGAAATTTCTAGGCTGGAAGCACATGAGGCAGAAACTGTCCATCAAATTGACAGAAGTGACATTCTTGTGACCCAAACTTGTTTTCAAAAATGGGTTCATGCGCAGAGCTTCTCATTGAGGGATATGCAGAAGAGCCTGATCAAGTTTCCCCATGGCCTTTTCTTTTAATGACTTGATACCACAGTTTCCTTACACTACTTTCATTCATCAGACAGGGTTATCTTTTTTCTTGTGCTTTGTTGACCACTCAGATTGATTTATGATTCAAATGATGCTCTTCAGGAAAAGATTGCAGTGAAGAGTTAGAGTGCACAGACAATGATGCTGGGCTGCTGCTAGATCCCATTACCTAGTGAAAGTTCCTGCATCTAATTGTAGTTCACTTACGCCTTCTCCAACCTCTAAGGACATACTCCTTTATATAGCTTCTCCTGCCAAATCTTCTATTTCTAATACACAGAAGATTTTTGGGAGGAAGAAAAGAGTGCATTGGCAGCACCTTGTTTGGTTCTCAATTGCCCCTCAGTATGTAGCAATAACATGACTTTCAGTATCCGTAAGCTGCCTAATTTTGTAAGAATGTCATCATCGCAGCCTACTGTCTCTACGCTGTATGCGTGATCAAATGAGAAACAAGAGATCACTTTTTTCTTTGTTTGTCATTTCTGCAAAAGGAGTCTGGTGCAAAGGCCACCCAGGAGATGTGTAAATCGCAGAGAATAGACTACGGCCAAGTATGCCGATTTGCATTTGGAAATTGGAAAAGAACTTTAATAGGGAAAATCTTTATATTATTGCCTAACTATAGACACTCTGCGACATGTGGAGAATGAGGAATCCAACCCCGTCGGAAGCAAAGTGCAGCATGCAGATTCTACCTCGAGTAAATATTAATTTTTTACTGTTATATTTAGAGTAATGAGCATACAGAATTCACCGGACCATTCTCCCAGAGAGATTAATTCTTTCATAAGGGGCATGTAGCAAGAGTTGTCCACCTCTGAACAAATGGTCGACAAAATACTTTTCCTGGCCACCACAAGACAAATGAGCACCGATCCATTGCCACATGAACATGAACATTCTTTAGAAATAAATGCACATCTTCGAAATAGCTAACCACTAAGTAGACATGTAAAAGTGCCGCCAATAAAGCAAAAAGGGCAAAACACACTGAAACAAAACCTAAATAACTCTCAACAGCAACTTTTCCTTGTGGGGATGGTGCATTCAGACGTCATATCTTTCATTAAAGGTTTCTAACACAGTGATAGAGCTCATACTTACAACCATATCCATAAGCCACCATCTACTCAGACACATGACCCAAATATAAGTAGTTAAGAACTCAAGAGAGGCAGAAAACCAAATATACCTGCGAAAACAAAGTAGGGGCGCCTCCGGTACCCGCGGACCGGGACAACATCGGTCAGAAGGCCCCAAATCGGCTTGATGATCCAAGGAATATTGACGATCCCATAATAAATCTGAGCCTCCGAAGGCTGGACTTTCTGGACATCCTTCATGTAGTACTCCGTCGCGACCCGCGACAGAGCGCCGCCGAGCCCCTGGCCTATCCCGTACACGAACACCACCGCCAGCACGAAGCTCCAATGCATCTCCGCCGACAGCATTCTCAGCCACTGGATCGAGGCACGGAGGCAGTCGCACCCCCTCGGTCCGGGCGCTCCTCCTCCTTCCTCCACACCCTCCACCTCCTCCTCCTCCTCCTCCTCTTCAGAGGCCAAGACATCACCTCGCTCCACCATAACCACGACGACACTTCACTTTCACAATGGAATTTCTCGTTCTTGAAATGTTTGACCTGAACCCAGATGGGTACTTTCCCGGAAGCGTCCCCCACTTTCCCGGGAAGATCTCTGCCTATGATGGATCTGGGTATCCTCGCAGTACGTACGGGTGGTGAATCGGCGTTCCGAAGAAATGGGCTCGCGGAAGCCGATGCAAAGATTCGAGCTGCGCACGAGACAGTTCTTGTTCTTGATCCGAACCAGAAGACACGGTGTAACTGGAAGCGCAGTTATTACAGAGATCCCCTGTTCACCAATCAGAGGCAGTGTTGTTGGCAGCAACACGAGTGCAAAGGCTTTCTTGATCTGGGTAGTTTCTGTCTGGATTTGCCCGGTTCGAATTTTGACCAATCTCTAGCCGCCAAAGGGAACTAGGCTTTGATACCCTCAAAAAAAAAAATCTCAAATTTATCTTCGATCTCAATTCTACAATGATTTTTTTTTTCATCTCACAGAAAATCCTGAACTTTTGATCAAATTCCATTTGTACTCTAAATTTTTTTATCTCGTAATAAACCTCGTACTGTAGGTTAATACTCAATTTTATCTTAAACATTTTTTATCTTGTAAAAAAATATCTACTTTAATTTAAATTTCATATCTTACCCATCGTTAACCCTCCACGCAAAATCGCCCTTAGCGAATTTCCATGTCATTGCTCTAGTTTTTACCCAAATTTCAAATCCAAGAGGACTTCGTTTTGAGGGCCTAAACGATGTCTTCTTGGATCTAAAATTTGGGTAAAAATTAAAGCAATTAGGGTTGATTTTCTTCAATTACTTTTACTTTTAATAGAGTCACCTTCCATCTCGCTCGGGGATTTTCGATTTTGCACTCAGTCTTCAATCTCCCGTGCTCAAGAGTCTTCTATCTCTTGCGGTCAAATCGCTTGCGCTCGAGACCCTCAGGTTGGGACGCTCGAACAGCTCATGCTTCAAAATTTTCCATCTCTCAGTTGTGAAGAGAAATTTTGGATGGAAGGTTAACGGGAACAGATTTGGGACTCAAGTACAAGTTAATGATTTTTTATGGGATAAAAAAGAGTTTATGGTAAAGTTGGGACTGGACCTAAAGTTAGAGGCTTTTTTTGAAATAATAAAGTTTATGGTAAAATTGATATTGCACCTAAAACTTCTTGTTTTTTCTAGGGTATTAGACAAACGAAAGACATGTTTTCATTGCAGATTGAGGCAATCGAGCAAATTACAGTACCGATTATTAATGGTAAGACAATTCATTTCTATGTAACATAGTCAAATTTGATCTTTGAATTATGGTATTGGTGTCCTCTGTTAAAGGAAAGACTTCTTAGTGTTGTTCATCACTTCCCTCATTCTTGGATACAGAGATATCTAAAGATGGTGCGCATATGTTCATTGCAGGTCGAGGCGACCGAGCAAATTATGGTATCGATTATTAATGGTAAGACTATTCATTATATGTTACATCCTCAAATTTAGTCTCTGAATTATGGTATTGGTGTTCACTATTAAAGGAAAAAACTTCCTCCTATTGTTTTCTCCTTTCCTTTTGCTCGAAAGATTGTGGCCGTGAGATAACCGATTAGTCACTAATTATGAACATCACACAACTATATCAGATTAGCTTGAGCATAGTCAATCCTATAGATTAGGATTATCGGTCCTTTAAGATTCATGCAAACTCCATAGATCTAGATCGATAAGGTGGGTCTGACGATCCATATCAGTTAGAATTCGCACCAATTGAAAACCGTCCTGTAATTAAAGAAAAGAGACCGAAGCTTTACCATTGGCGAGCTTCAATTCCGATAAGTTAAACAAATATTAACACGACGGCATACGATGACAATTGGTCAGGAAGAAGTAGATTTCGATTTTAATATTGAAGGAGATGATGATATTGTTGATGTTGATCTGTGAAGAAAAATCACATGTGAACGGTTGAAGCAAATGACTTTCGGGGGAAAGCATTTCAAAGAATGATGCATACACCTAGGCAATTGCGTACTTCAATTCTACCAAATGTTGGTTTTTCTATTGGTTGAGTCGTACCGAATGATTCATATTTCTAGCGATGTGAATCATAATTTGTCATTGGAATATCTTGGCCGCATGTAAACTCAGACTATACGTTCTCAGATAAACTCGCTCGTCTTATTCACGAAACGGGTCGATCGAATCTTCCGTCATCTTAGAAGTCCACATAGCCGCCGGCAATTTTAGTGTTTTACAATAACAAAAGCTATATCAGTTACTGTCATGATCCGAATGATTCCTTTTTCCTTCATCTTCCTTCTCGAGTACGACCTGCGCGTCTCTCCATTCTTCTCCAGACATCTTTCGTAGCAAAATGCATTCGCTGCAGTCCGCAAAAACCATATCGGGTGCAAAAACCATATCGGGTTTTGTTCTCCGTGCGATTCTATTAAACTGGGTGAGCGATTTGCATCACAAAACTTGTCATCAAGACAGCTAGACAGATCCTAACTGATCCTGTCATTGTCCTCGTCGAAGCAGCATCGATAAGAGGCATGTACCAAACTTCTTGCAACATCCTTCTTGCTCATGTTGCCAGATCTTTATGTAGGCACGCAAAAGCAACAGACCACAAATGCACAACCATGAGATATCGAAAGAATCATCCCTCATTATCCCAACAATTGCTACGAGTCCAAAATGCCGGTCGAGTTAATTGAGTTTACAAATATTAGCATCATCAGTTCACAAATTGGTGCGCCTTTTATTTCCAGAAGAATGGATGGCTATTTACTTTTACAATGGATTACACAATGGCTCCATGGTTTTATTCCCCAGAATTACAATCAAAGAATGCATTGTTTCTCAGAAGACGAATACATCGCTGGTAAGTGGGTTGACGATCGGAAAACAGCAAATTGGAGGACTACTGTTTTACCATGAAAGAACTTTTGCAGCCACACCCTCCCACTGCACTTGGGTTTGCAGTTACCTGCACATTACACCGGAAATTAGCTGTTGCAATTTAATCTAACAGTAGACATGCATAAGACAATATGGGAAAAAGTAACAAGAAATTCCGTCAGCTTAGCATATCACTTCAGAATTACAGAGAAGCAAACTGCTATTGCCAATGGTCTCCACTATCAACAATATGTCAAACCGTACCATAAAAATAGCTGTGGCATGAAAGAACATTCTTTATTATCACTAGACTACATTGACAATGCGGGGGGGGGGACAAAAAAGAGTATTTGAGCTAACCTGGAAAGCAGCACGGATAAGCTCTTCGACATAATCAACAGTTGCCCCTTTCACAAAATCATATGAAATATTGTCTACAACAAGTTTAACTTCATCTTTCTCAAAAACCCTGAAAAAAAGTACAAGCTATTGAATGTGTTAGCACATGGTCATCAAATTTGAGAAACTCATAGGGAAAAGAAACTGTCTCCCATCATTTAATGAGTACCTGTCATCTGAATCGGCTTTTTCAACCAAATTAAAAACATATTGAAATCCTGAACATCCACCAGTTTCTACACTCAGACGAAGCATTTTTTCTTTAAGGGAACCTTCAGCAGCCTGCAGTTCTTTCATTCTCTGAAAAACAGTCCTAATGTCAATCAGTGCTCAAAATGACTCGACAAAATAAGGAAAATTACCAACACTAGATTAGCAAAATTAGCGTGCTCTTATTGCATGGTGCTCATCATGACGATCTTTCGCAGCTGTATAGAGAAGCCACAGCTTATGATGACAATGAGAGCTCAATCATGGGTCTACCCATACGAGATATGAAACATGAAGCCACTTCAAGACGTTTCCTGAATCGGGAAGCAATATTCCACCTTTATTTCTTGAATGCATCTTATATTAGGTTACAAGGGATATTTCCTAGGCTTAGCCTTAAATTCTTTATGAGCATTGCTTCTCTGAGAAAGATGTCATAGATAAGGTACTGAGGGTGCCTGCCACCCCTACGTAAAATCAATGACAAGATGAAAGTTTTACAAATTCTGACAAGAAGGAAGTGTTACAAACAATATTGCTACCATATTTGCTGCAGAGAACTTAGCTCAAGTACTCGAAGAAAAAAAAAGTATGGTTTTATGGTCCATCTCTCTTTTATCAATTTGTACAAAATCAGGAACATCGCACTAATGTTGACATTACGACCTTAAATTGTTACAACACAGAGATCGTGATCGTTTTTATTCTTTCATACACATCTGGAAGTCAATCAGATGCAGGTCCTGTGTTAAGTGTGAGTCTGCTTCAAATTTTTATACATCTACTAAGTCGATCTTTATGAAATAAAGGGAAATAAATACCTGGATGCAAGCGGCTGTCATATGTACATCATCAACAGATGGTGATGAAGAGGAAGAAGCTTCATGAAGTGCAGAAGAAGAGGAAGAGCTCAAAAGCCTCTGGTTCTCTCGAATTTGACCAGCAAAAAATGGACTTATACGCTTCATCAATGACATCGATGATGATCGGGACATGTCTTGCTTCGCTTGGTGAATCTGGAAAAAAATAAAGAAGAAAAACATAGTAATCATTCATCAACTATTATGCCATGTTGTATGTTTCCAGGGTATTGAAACATTAGTCTTCTTCTACATAATTTGAGGATCCAAAAAAAATGCTTTATGAGTTGATAAGAGAAGTAGTCCTTATATTGTATCAGGGGACTATGAAGAGACGACACAAGGAAAGGTTTCACACCTCGAGTGGCAATTGTGTTATTATGGGTAGGACTGAGTTGCTTCAATATGAGCTAGACATTCTTTTTGATAAGTAAAAATGAGATAGACCTTTTCTTCTATAGGTAAATATGAGCTAGACCTAATCAAACCATTTCAATGCATAGTTTCTGCCATGGCGAGCATACATTAAACATTCCCAATATCCGGCCTGTATTCAGGATCAAAACCTTACAAGGAAGTCCCACAACCCAACATTAAAGTAAGACCGACGTGTAATTGGAAAATTTCTCTCGCTATCAAAGGGATCGAAGGATATTTTCAACCACTGGGAGGAAAAAGAAAGTCCCCAAAAGAAAAATAACACCAGCAAGGTCAAAGACTAATAACAATTATGTCCACCATTCATCTAACTAAATCATACATTCCACATACTAATGCTCCTTGTCAATCAAAATCATAGTAAAGTTAATCCCTCTGCTCCCTGTAACTTAATAGTTAACTTCCCCTTATCCGTGCCTGCCATTTCTACCGCTATTCTTCCATCCGCTGCAGCCTTTTCAATGACTGCCATAACTCAAATCATCCCACGTACCAAGCATCAAGCATGCTCGCAGAAACCCTCATCATCAAATGACATGCCCGGGATGTTTCCCGAGAGATTTCACCGGCTATCGGCGACTCAAAATGGCAGTAACGACAATAAGGATTTCACAAAAATTGAAAAAATGGGGAGGATTCAACAGAAACCATATTCTCCCTTTACACAATCATGCCCTAACTATGCTTCATGCTGATTGATTGAAGACACCGTATAAGATATTTTCTACTTGCCCTTCAATTATCGAGCTGCTTTTCTTACCGCTAGACAGTGCATAAGAATTCAAGTAACCTGGAACAAACACTACCCATTTTTTACAGCCCAAGAGAGAGCTCAAGCAAGCATTGCAGATGGGATGAAATGCTTGGCTGAGATCACCGAATGCCTCAACAAATCATCGTCCTAATGACCAAACTCTTTGTTCAAAACAAAGATGAAAACTTGCAATAATCCAAGAGCTAAGCAGCAAGCCAGGGACAACAATCTCGCGCGGAAGCCAGAATCCTCCGAACCCCGGGCGGACGAGCAAAGACAAAAGAGAACCGGAAACCACCAATCGACCCGGAAGACCATCTCGCTTACCCGTTCCCGGAGAAGGGCTCCGTCGACGCGGGAGCCCGCGCAGACCGAGCTCCGACGCGCAATCGCCCCGCGGAGGCCGCGCATGAGACCCCCTCCGCTTCCGCGAGCGGCTGACGCCATGGCGAACAGGGGTTAAGGGCTTGCGGAGATGCTGCTTCCGGGAAACTGGGACGACGGACGGAGGCCGGAGCTCTGTAGCCTCCGTAATGTTTAGGCGAACACATACAGAGAAAGAGAGAGAAGGAGAGAGAGAGTGAACCGGGTTCTCAGCCTCCGATCGAACCGGGTTCGCAGCCTCCGATCGAACCGGTCGTCAGATGGCCGGATGAACACGGCACTGCACTGCCCACTTTTGTTTTTGATTGGATGGTGTTTATCTTTCTATTCTCTACGTTTTGTTTGGCATATGTTTCTACCCAGCTAAAAAGAAAGACACCCATTAAAAGAAGGAGTATTACAATCTATTTCAGTCAAATTTTCCATAAATAAAAGATTGTATAAGAAAAAACCTTTTGGCAAATCTTTAAGGAGGAGAAAAAACAGTATAATTTTTTTTGGATAAGTGCACTGAAAGTTCTAAAACTCGTTACAAAAGTATAATTGAGTCTAAAAAGATTACAAAAAGGTATAATACTGTGCAATCGAGTTTTTTCATTAATTATGTCTAACTTGGCTAACGAAAAATGTCATGACTTTTATTTTTATTATCTTCTCTAACTTACGTGGCGATGACGTATCTAAAATAACGCTATTTTGGTCCAAATCTAATTTTTAATGCTAATTTTACTTAATTTAATTTGAAAAGGAGAAAAATGGGAACCGATATTGGATTGTGAACCAATTCACGCTGCCCTAAGTTAGCCTTTTTTACGTTTTTGTCCTTCAAAGGTGCCGCCTTTCTGTCTGTCGTCGTTCATCGCTCTCGGTTTCTCACGCTCCCTCCCCCCGTCTCTCACGTCCGGCGCCTCTGCACTCCGAGGTACTCTCTGTCCATGTCGGTTTCGCTTTCGACTTCTTCGTTGAATGTCTCGATTTGGGTATCGCTGCGATTCTCCTGGGCCATACGTAGGAGGATGACAGGCACCGTATCAAACTGTAAAGACCTGACTTTTGACCAACAGAGTCATCGATTAGCATTAAGATTGAGTGAAGTGGAAGGCAGTGATTTTGGGTCCTATCGAGTTGTGTATCGTTTATGGAAATTGGGTTTTGGTGTGCTAGTATGTGAGAGCCTTCCCCAGTGTTATGTCTGCCGGTTTGATGGTTAAGGGAGTCGAGATTTCTCGCCTTCTTCAGGAGCTAATTTCCCATGGAATCGTGGGTGCTGTTTTTCTGGTGTTTAGATGTGGGCGGAGGTGCTGAAAGTACTGGCGCTCTGCGTGTTTGATGAAATACCTCTTTGATATAGATGTTGCCCATTCACGCCAACACTTTTGGTGTTTAAACGCATTTTTCTGTAAATATTTTCTGGATAGGAGTGTTCCGTTTTTGTTAAGCCCCGGCCCCAGAAGTCACTCTGCATGTTTGATGAAATACCTCTTTGACGTTAATATTTCATTCCAGCCAACACTTGAGGTGTTTAAACGTGATTATTCCATTTTTGTTAAGCCCCAGCCCTATAAGTCACTGAGTTAAGGTTTAAAGTTTGTTCCTATAGGAGGGTAGGCCGGTTCTCTTGTTATCCACACCGCAGGCTTACTATCCTGCTCCTAATTATCCTCCCGCAGGTCGTCCTCTGCCTGGGTTTCCACTAGCTGGCTATCCAAAGCGATCCATTTCTCTGCCTTAAAGTTCATCACAGACCTCCGAAGGAGCTCAAATTCAAGAACGTGTGATGAGGACGCTGGATGAGAAGGAGACGACCCAGGTGTTTGAGAAGCTGTTCAAGTTCACTGGCAACAACCTCAAGAATATCGTCGAGAGCCCCTCCCATGAGGGGCCTGACCCGAATCCAGGCCGCTACTGCTTCCGGCTCTGCAAGAACCGGGTCTACTACGTCAGCGAGTCACTGGTCAAGCGAGCCACCAACATCGGCCGCCACAACCTGGCGTCCCTAGGCACCTGCATTGGCAAGTTCACCAAGGGCGGGAGCTTCCACCTGACAATCCAGGCGCTGAGCATTTTGGCTGCCAACGCAAAGCACAAGGTCTGGCTCAAGCCCACCTCGGAGATGTCATTCCTTTACGGGAATCACGTGTTGAAGGGTGGATTGGGAAGGATCACCGAAAACATCAATGCAGGTGAATTGTCAATTTCAGCTCAAATTTTGCGATTTTAAGTGTTGTTTGGTGAATGTTATGTTTCTGCTTGAGGTGTTGTGGGATGGGGTCTGGGTTTTGGAATCTGAGAGAGATGTGAAGGTCAGACGCAGAAACTTAGATAGAATGGAATATCATCGGGGCGAAACAAAGGAACTTTATCTGAAGTTTCATATGCTATTGTATAAATTGAACTTAGGATTGTCACTTTGTGCTAATTGGGTATTAGTCAATGTTTAAATTGGAGATGTACTGTTTTCCTGGTCCTTTTTCTAAGGGGTGAATGATATATCTAAATAGCTTGAAAATTCAGCTTGATCGACAGTAATTTGCTGGTAAAATGTGGCCTCAATGGAGATGATGGAGGGAACTCCCACTTTGACTGTAGTTGCAATCCCTAATTGGGTTTGCAATCATCCGTCTCTTTTCTTTCCATGGCCCTCTCGTCTTGGCTTTATCACATTGTCCGTCTCAGTCCTTTATTCCCTCCGAATTGGCTCCTACTCCCACTCTTCCATTTTTCTTGCCATCATCCTTTCTTCCTATAACATTTTCTTGCTACCATCACTTTTGGTTTAATTTGTGAATGGTTGTATACGTTGTGTTGTCTTATTTTGAGTAAGCACCCTTAATTGATTGAGAGAGAGGTGAAGATCCAGATTTATTTTTTGTAGAAATTGAGGATCTAGCCTGTTTAAATGATTTAACTCAGTCTTCCTGCACTTGGTTTTGGTTAGTGAAGTGTCTTGGTTCTTATACAAAAGGTTAGATCAATGAAAACACAATAGTGCAATCATTTCACTTGATGTCGAAGATAAATAGCTGTTTATTTTAATAGAATAACGACTTGTTTGTTTTTGCCTTGTATTTTAGATTTGTCAAAACTTGATTAATTAGGGACAAGATTTTAATCCACCCAGACCAGTACTCAAGAAGTACCATGTTCAATTTGTCTTCCTCATCTTCATACTTGTGTGGGGAAAAATGGTTCATTTGGAAGATATCTGATGATTGAAGACAAATGTTATGACAGGTGATGGAGTGGTGGTCTTTTCCATGTCTGATGTTCCTTTGGGATTTGGGATTTCACAAAGGTCAACCCAGGATTGTAGGAAGTTGGATCCAAATGGGCTTGTCGTGCTCCATCAGGCCGATATTGGGGAGTACTTGAGGATGGAGGATGAACTTTGAATGAGGGTTTGCTTATACATTGGGTTGTTCTGCTCCTATTGTTCAGATCTTTGTAAGGGCATTGAATGACCATGATCTTGAGAAATAGAAGAATTGTATTATCTAGTAATTCATTTTTTTCCTTTCCAATTTCGTGGAATGGCTATTTCGTTGGTTGTGCACCATGTCGATTTCTCTGATATGCTCTAAGAAATGTATTATTCTGATATTGTGGAATGACTTTAAGGTTACAGACATTATTTTGTCATGGACATTGTTTAGGATGCCGAGATCTGCAAGTCTGGTAGATCTTCTTTATCATGTCACTATGCCCGGAATTTAGCCAACTCCTGTGTTCAGCTTTTTAAGTTGAATTTCATACTTTTGGGCTGTTCAAACTTGTGGCTCCTGGCGAACTTAGCGACAGAGTTCTTACTTGTGTGTGCTTGTCAAGATACTTTTCTGGTTTATACTTTCGAAAGTATAACTACACAGTTCTTTAATCGAAAGTGTAACAGTTTTTTGGTTGCACTGCAGTGTGGTTCATGGTTGGTCTAAGTGGACATATGAAACTTGACTCAACAGGTTTCACTTAGTATGTTGTGCTTTAGAAGCCTAGTCTTCTGCTTCTTTTGTTGACCGAGTCTAGGAAAAGGGAAACCCTAAGTAATTCTATTATTGGGTCAAGTGGCTTAGAGTTCTTATCCTTCTGTTGCATCATGGTGGCGGAATACTCTGCTGAATAAAATTTGAAATTCACAGGACTATTCTTTATCAGTCCTCTTTTCTTTCTTGATCTTTCTCACATTAGTTACTTGTCTAGCGCTTCCCTTTTTCCACTTTTTCCTCAGAACTCTTTGACTTGCCTGGGGTTTTCTCTTCAAATATTTAGGTATGGAACTCGTGTCTATGACATTCGATTGATTTAGGTATCATTGAGTTTGTTGAAGTTAATGGTTTATGCTCATTTGTATCTCCAGGCATGAAAGGACTTTTTGGGTCTGAAGCCACTAGGAATGCATATTTAAGGGTAATCTCTTTGTCTAATTATTTATATGTATATCGAAAAGTAAAGCAAGTTGATATGTTTGTTTACTGCAGATGCCTGGTTGTGATAGAGTTATTGATATTCTAGGTTCATCCATCTTCAATAGACAGACAAGAGCAAGGAATGTTCAAGTTTCCCCAAGCCATGCTTCATCTGATTTCTCAGAACCTCCATGCACTCAAGAATCTTTAATTGGTGGTGGGCTGTGAAGTTGCAAGCTGGCAAATGCTGTGGATATTTAGTGCATGCTGTTAGATAAGGACGTTGAGTTGTAGACTAGAAACTGCTAGTTATCATGTTGTTTATGAGTGGATTTGGCTATGTACTATGTGTTGAGTTGTGCCTGCTGTGTTGGGATGTTTGTCTTTTCCATCAAATAATGTGGATCAGTTTATCTAATGCTATTTAGTTTGTTTTCAATTAGTGCTATTTAGTCTGCTTTTGATTAATTGGTACTTGAACTGATGCAGCATCCGTTCACTGCATCAGTCTTTGGTTTGAACTGTTTTTACTCAACAAGCTGCAAGCTATTCAACATTTTTTTCTTTGGTTGTGAGGTATTTTTGTAACAGGTTTCTTGTGGTTTTATGCATGTGTCTTGCTGGACTGCTATACTTGGTTTCTTGTTATGACTTGTTCATACAGGTTCATGTAAGAATACTTGCTGGTTTATAACAGGTTCAGTGGTATTATGGTTGGTTCAATGCTATTATCACAGGTTCAGTGTTTGGTTAAGTGCTATTATTCTTGAATTAGTTCTGTTATTAGTGGTGTGATGCTTCGTTCAGTCTTGTTATTAGAATGCTTGCTTGTTTAGGAGGTTCAGTGTTGTCACCTGACTGCAGTTGCTTGTAGCTCTGTGCTTGTGTCTTGTTGGGCTGCTATGACATTCTTACATGAACCTGTTATAAACATGTTATGAATGAGTGTAGATGGTGATGCTTTGTGGTTATCTGTATGTGCTTCTCTGTCTTCTCTCTCTCACTCTCTGTTGTTGGTTATGACGATGAACTTGTAAGAGGGGATGCAGAGAGTGAAAAAGACATCGAATCAAATGCCGATTCTCTGTTGTTGAGACTTTTGGATAGTTTGTCTATTAGACTGCGTACTGCACTTCACCTGTGTTGGTAACATACAATACACTGATTAACGGTTATTGGAGGTTCAAAGAGATGGACGAGGCAGAGAAGCTGCTTAGTTGGAATAAATTTGCCTGCAATTTTAACGATTAGAGGTATTGTGTTTTGCAAATGTCCTTGTCATGTGCTTGATAGTTGGCTGCGAAGACATTGGAATACAAATGAAGGCCCCGTTTGGTTCAGCTTTGGGAAGGGGTTTTCGGCCTCGAAAGCCCCTTCTCAAAATGCTGAACCGTTTGGTTCGGCTTTCCGAGTCCGGAAAGCCGAAAGCCAGCATTTGGAATGCCGAAAGCCCAAAGCTGGTCCGGACCAGCTTTGGGCTTTCAGCATTCCACAAATGCTGAAGCCTATATTTTTCCCTTCCCAAATTGCCCTCACTCAAATTTCAATTTTCCGGTTTTGCCCTGTTACTGTTCATCTTCTTCACCGTGAGGGTGGCCGGCGAAGGGCCGGCGAGGGCGGATCTGGCCGGCGACGGGTCGGCGAGGTCGCCTGACCCAGGCGATGGCCGCCTGGGTCGAGCGATCGCCCATGCACCGTCGCTTGGGTCGGCGGTCGCCTGGAGTCGCGCGACCTCAGGCGGCCGGACAAGAGATTTGGGGGGGGGGGGGGGGGTGGGGTGTGGCAACCGGCCGGTGATTGTGGCCTCCGGGTTCAGGTCAACTAGAGGAAGATGAATGTTATCTTCTCCGAGAGCGACGAGGGCCGCTAATTTATTATGGATCTTAGCTTCATGAAACTGCTCTAGCTTCTCCCGGAAAAATTGTACGAGTCGAAGATCTCAAGCAATGTGTTTTGTGAATCTCAGTTTTGATTCGAGATCAGAAAAATGTAAATCCACATATTCTTTTAGTGATTCTGTTTGATATTTGATGTGATACAAAGCTGACTCAAACCACGGAACATAAGAGCATATCCCGTGGGGAAACGGTAGGGTCATAAACAAATTGTTAAGGTAATAATCATGGTAAAAAGAAAAGAAAAGACCAATATTTAGGGATGCGAAGTTATTTCGGGTTAAGTCGTAATCACCGTCTTCCTCCTTATCATTTCGCGCATAAACTCATTATTCACTGTGAAAATCACGTTCGCAATAGTCATGGCACAGAGATTTGCCTGTGTATTACAGACTTGAGGGCCATTTACAGTGAGGAAGATCTCATGTAGGTGGTTGCACCATGAGTTGGAAAGTTTTCACCCAAACACACTCGTAGTGTCATAATTCTGGTTTCTTTGCAAACATATCCGAGAGATTGGCTACGACGAATCCTGCAAAAACCTGAAACGAACGAGCTGGTGAGAATGTCCGAACCAGGCTTCGTTGATCATACTTGCACCGATATCATACATTTATGAAAGCACAAGTTCAGCTTATAACTTTCGATTGTATCAAATGTGACATAAAGGCAAGGAACCTGAGCATACCTGGACGCATCCGACAATGTAAATTGCAGAGTAACGACGGCCGTGAACAAGCATGTCTGCCACCATTGCGAGGGGGATCGTCAAGGACATGCCAAGCGTTGCAACCAGCGGAGTTGTCCAGACGATTGATAGGGCCCTGTTTCAACATTTTCCGACATTACCCACCAAAGAATGTGGCAACTTATAGATAGAAAGCATTAGCTAATGTTGCAAACAAGAAAATGTGTAACCGTCAATTGGAACTTAGTGAATTCTATTAGCACTTCAGAACCATTGGTAAAGGCTCTGTCATTTATCCATCTACTACACAAAAAGCATACTAAACTTCATCTGAACCATATTTTCAACCGTGGTAAGTTTTACTGACCCTTCATGGAACGAGAATGGGCGAGACATACCAAAAGTAATCCAAAAGAACACTCCCCACAAGGCCATTTAAAACCAAGGCTCCACCAATAGATGTCGATGACGGGAGGCTAAATTTGGGCTCAATCCCCAAAGCATGTAGTGGCCATCCTGCATGAGGCAAACATCTCTGAGAAAAGTTTCTGCTATGGAAGCAGTAGAAAAATGTGATGGAATGGGGAGAACTATCAACTAAAATACAAATCATCAAGGAAAGATGTTTGAAAAACCAAAACCGGAAGGTTGGGCTTTTAAACTTTTAGGCATGAAATTAAATGCTAAATCTTATCAATTACTAAGGTGAGCTAGCCGGCTCGCATTCCCCCATCCAACTAGAATATTCAAAACCACAGCTTAAATCTCAAAATTCATGCAAATTAACAGTCAAAACTAAATCCAGCTCAATGTTTCCATTGCAGAAGATAACCAGAATAAGTTTGCTTCAGTTCTGCTTCCGCACCACTTACCAAACCACCAAAGGCCAAGAAGAGTGAAGAGGCCAATATATCCGAAAAACTTGTGCACACCTACCTTCTCTCCCTCTGACCCTGCAAACTTCTTTAGCAGCACTGCACAAGACCCAGGCCGTTAAAGACAATGAAAAGAGAGTTAAAGAAGTACTATGAAAATCCTGATTTTGAGGCAGAGATTTTCACCTGTGAACAAACCATATAATACTGCTGACAGAAGGCCAAAAATGTTCCCCATGATTGTGTGCTTTTTGATCCTTGGCAACAAGAACAGTAGGTATCAGGAAAAACACGCAAGATATATCACACAGACATGACGTAATAAGCGGCAAACATTCAGTTTATTGATGCATGTAAAAAGGTAATTGTTTAGTTGCAATGTGAATTTGGCATAAAAGGTTACGATGGACCATCTTCCAAAAGGAATGTATCGGCTCTTGTGGGGAAATGCAGACTCAACTTTCCTGCATCTTCAACAAACTCGTTACACTCCAAATTAAGTAGAAGAGACATCACTAAAATTTTCAAAAAAGTATCAGTTATTTTCACATTCCATGCAGACTCCATATCTTAGTTGTGCAAGTTCCCTATCTTTCACTTCATTTGGGGACAAAATTGGGGTACACCGGAGTATGCAAGCTAC